AGCTACTATTGCCTTACAAGCATCTCCCCTCTTGCAACCAACCACCCCTATGATAGCACTTATAGTAACTCTCCTTTGAGCTTTTGGTCTATATCAATGTATCAACATTCTCACCCCTTAGGGCTTGTTTCGGAGTTAGTTTTAGGTGGGAAAGGAAATGAATAAGATAGTTTTATTAATCTCTTCCATTGTTTGTGAGTTTAAAAAAGTGAGGGGAAGGAATTGGAGAATTACACAAACCCTCCAAAACTCTTCTTATTCTTAAAATTAAAGTTCCCCCATTTTTTGGGGTTTTAACTCCCAAACAAGGGGAAGGGATACCTTCCATTTTCCTTCCCTCCCCTCCCTTCCCCTTGGATCCTCTCCCCTCCAAACTCCCAAACAAAACCTTAAGGGATACAAACCTACCTCCTAATCCACAACAGTTCACCATCTTTATGTAACAAATACAAAATTACTTACCAATCTTCAATACTGCCTCTGTCCTTCATCAATTATACTTCTACTTCCTTTTCCTTTTCCCTTTTTTAAATTTTTTTATCTAATAAAAAATACAGTTATAAAATTCTCATATTGACTTACTCTGGAATTGAATCATGAATGAATATGCATTGAAGTTTCTCTTCATTAAGTTATATGAAACAGAAAATCAAAATGGAAATTGTTGAGACATATTCAAAGTCACTCCTAAAACAAATAGTAGTAATGTTTTTTGTACAGTTGCCACATTCAATTTGTTGGTTTTGGCAGCTTGTGGTACTTCACTTTTTTGGTTGTTGATGAGACTTTTGAGGATTTCAGGAAGCTTTGCAGCATTTCTTTAGTCTCTAAATCTTGGAGTTTTTGGAGGGTAGGTTATTCCTCTTTTTGTTTTTTGTTTTTTTGGATGTTATCTATTGGTTCATCAATTACTCAACTTGTTCAATTTGAGATTAGTAGGACCACATGGACGGCAAAGCTCTTCCGACCAAGTTTTAACACAGTTGCTTCCCCAGGAACTCATCCTCAAAACTACTAGTTAAGTTGGAACACCCCCTGCATAGTATGAGTGAAGGGCAGGACTAATCTGTGTTTCACATAAATAGTTTGATAGATTTTCTTCTGAGCACTGAAAGCTTGCTGTCTATTTTTGGAATCTTCAAGTTTACCTCTCATACTTTTAATGGTACTCATTGATTCTACAGATTCTGTTTTTCCATATTCTAGTTCTACAGCAGCCATGATTACCATACTGCCTCATTTATTTAATGATGATGCAAATACTTTATTTATTTTGGTTCTTCCGTATGTATAAATAAGGCTTTTGTATTATTGTATACAAATATTTGATTGGTTTCTTGTGGTAATCATGTTAACCAATAGCTTACACTAGCAATAGGTTGACAAATTATGGCCTTACAACTGTGCAAGGTGGAATTATAATTTAGTGTGCAAGGTAATATGCATTTGATTTCCGATGTCTATGTTGCGTTGTTGTATTCTTACTTAAAGCTGGGAATCTCCAAACATCCAAGCTGGTAACGAACTCAATTTACTGAGAAGGAGAACATGTTCAGCGGGCCACTCATTGATCAAAGAAAACTGAAACAAGTTTTAGATTAACACTCAAATATTTTTTTGGTAGATGAAAGTTTAGATTAGGGGAGGCACAACCCTATGCAAGGTCAGGGAAGATTACAAAATTCATTGAGAATTTAAATGGGATTACATATTGCCGAGGAAAAAAGGCAAAAAGGGGAAGCTGAGAAAAGAACCCAAATCACTGCTACATGAACAAATGGTTCCACCAACTGTGCGAATCTTCATTAGAAATTGTGTGTTGCATTTAAGTAATAAGCTGCCGATTTTAAGTATTGCATAATTTAAAGTGGCAGATTGGGGCATGAAGATGGTGAGCTTCCAATGTTACAGTAAAATAAATGCCCATATTGACTATCAATTTCTCGCAGTATGTGGTTGTTCTTTTTGGCATGCAAAGCACAATGGTCAAGTGGGGCTTTCTATGGATATAATAGCCATAGTCTAATTAATTAGTAAATTACATGTAATTAAGTAATTAAGCATGTATTAGTGAGTAAAATTAAGCATAAGGCCTAATTAAATGATTTAGGGTCACTTTTGAGGTAAAAAGTGCACTCAGTGAAGATTATGGGGTAAAAATAGATGTAGGCAAAAGTACCCAAAATATAAAAGTAAAAGTAAAAATATTCCTAGAAAAATATTCTAGATCTTTTGGTTAAGTTTGGTGATGAAAGGAGGTGAATAGATAGATAAGCTATTACCCGGTAGAAATAACTTAACCAAGTTAAGTGTGAAGCACAAGACCCATTCCTCACATTCTTCTTCTTCTTCCTCGATGCCAAACAGAGAGGGAGAGCATGAGAGACCATTTGGAGCCCTAAACCACAACTCCCCCATTTCTTGCTCAAATCAATCTATTCCAAAGCTTAAACCACTTAGAATCTTCCTCGCATCCTTAATCCTAGCTTGGTTGTGAGTGGGGAGCATTGTGGTATGAGATTTCTCTTCCCAGAATTTCGCCCCCTTTGAAGATTGAAAGGGTTTGGGAGCATTTCACTTCTTGGGGACTTAGGGAGCACTCATTCCATGGTTGTGCAATCATTTGTGGTAAGTTTCCACTCCTTGAACTTTGTTTTCAAGGAGATTGCATTGTTGAGGAAGATGATGAATAGTGTCATGATGGGTGGTACGAGTTTGGGTTTGATTTAAGCTTAAGCCCTTTGTAAAAGTTGTTAGAAATGATAAATAAACGGTAGAAATGAAATTAGATAGTCATTTTATTATGCTTTGAAAATTGCAAGATTATATACTTTGTTTGTGGATTTTCTTGCATTGGTAAACAACGGTTTGGTTGGATGTTAATTGTGTCCATGTGATGGCTAGGATTGAGCCTTATGGACCAACATTGAAGGACCAACCATTGGAGGAAGCCATAGAGCTTGATTAGCTCACTTGAATTGGTAAGTTCATACCTATTGTGGTGTGAATATATTTATTTGGTTGATGACAATTTTGGTATTCATTGGATTGTCTTGATAGATTGTCTAGTACCTTGATGTAGGTATTGATTATAAAGCTTGATTGTTTGAGTTGGTGAAGAACAAAGGTTGAGATTGGAGCGTTGAGGTAAGCCTTCGGACCTTGGGAATTGATCCCTTAATTGTTCCACCAAGCCCTGAATGGATAATGGTTATTAATAGTGTTTTATACGCAATAAGGTAGTTTAATGCTTTGTTATACATATGTGTGTGCATTTTGTGTGGCATAAGATGGTGTTTTCCTATGTTTTGTATATTGCATGACGATGCGTAATTCATACTTGGTAGTTTAGCTGGCCAGTAGGACTATTTTGCATCTGAGTATCCTTAGGACAACATGAGAGCTCGATGGATGTCTCCTGGAGATGTTCTTACACACTGCATGGATATGTATTTACTGCATTATTTATGATTATTGCTATTATACTGTGAGTGAACTATGGGGTGGAGAGATGCTTCAAGGATCCCTGTTTTTCTGAGATGTATTTATATATCTCACCCAGTGTTGTGGGGATCCCCTTTCAGGTACAGATGCTGCAGAAGCCTCTGGTGGCAAGAGGCCACACTTGGATTAGATTTATGCATGGGGATATTACATCGTTTTGGTTTCACATGTCATTTAGTAGTTCCTATGTATAGATTTATATTTGAAAGCCATTTGTTATATGTATGTCATGCTTTATTCTGATGGACTTAGCCTATGCTCACATTCTTTGGTGTCTCTTTTGTTGATGGGGGCTAAGGAATTGATCATAGTTTTTTGTAGCTAAGTCTCATGGTTATGTATTGAAGACATTTAGAGATTGTATAATATTGTGTTTATTGTATATATATGATGGAAGGGCATGGATGCTTCTTTTGATAAATATGTACCTTGAAAGAACTAAGAGTCATGTATTGAAGTGGTTATATGATGTCAATTAGGTGAAGGAAGACCTTTAGGTTGAAAATCCATGTAAAAGTAAAGATATCATGTCATGTTGCCCATTTTTCATATCCTATATGATAGATTTGGACCTTTGTATCTGAATAGAAGTTGTATATCTTTTTCTTAGCTTCCCAACGAGACCAAGATTGCATCATTCGGATAAGTATAACTCCAGTTAGGGGTAAAATACTATGGCTAGGTGTAATCTCCAGAACTTTGGCGCTATTAACTCCGTGGTGGCGCTAATCGCGCCAAGATACAGTGGGAAAACGCATTCCTGACGCCATTCGCGCCATGTTGGCGCCGATCGCGCCATATGTCTAGGAAGCTTCTATTTCGTGGCGCTAATCGCGTCGGTCGGGCATTAATCGTGCCGGGCCCAGTGGGTTTTGCACTCGTTTCTTAGAAAATTCATAACTTGAGCTACGGTGCTCCGAATTGAGCGCGGTTTGAAACGACGCGTAGATAAAGAAGGGATCTATAACATATTGGAACATGAGAACCATAAAAGTGGTATAAAATTTCTTAGGTAACTTAAAAGTGGAGGTATTTAGTGTTGAATAACAATAAAACTGAGTCTTAAGCCTTGGTTGTCTAAGAGGACTACTTGGCACATTATGGTAGCAACATATGGTCTAAATAAAACTTACAATAGGTGTTCCACATATATTTTAAGTTATGATCACATTTATGGGAATTTTTTTAATTACGGAATTGATTTTAAACAAATACGTTTATAAATAAAAAGGAAAACGTTTATCCGTACTTTAATTTAATTGTTGTAATTGTAACTGCGCGTAATGCCGTACGTAATGCTAACAAACCGGTTCTAGAATGAGGTGTTATATTTTATGGTATCAGAGCAGTTTCTTAGGGAAATTTGTTGATTATTATTATATCAGCTTGGTTTTTAATGCTTTATAGTTGTTTTGGTACTCTTTATGATTGTTGCATTTGTGATCACTGAGTGTGAGCCTGATTAACTCATTTCTTTGTGTAACATTTGTAGTGTCATGACGAGGAACCGAATTAACCCTGGGCCATCAAATGCCAATGCTCAGCCAGATCCTGTTTTTGTTGCTTTAGTTAGGCCCCGAAGTGGTCGTGGGGCAACAGGTGGATAGTCTGATCCTGTGGCTGAAACTCTGGCAGCTGTGCAAAGGGAGTTGACTGCTAGTCATCAAACTAATGAGAATTTGATGAAGACGAATGAAGATATGCGGAATGCTATGGCCGCGATGATGAATGAGTTGAGGACACTGAGGGGTGTTAGACATGAGAATCGACCACCCACTCCTCCTCCTCACACTGCCACACCTACTCCACATACTCTTCATGTAGAGGGTGGAGCGGGTAACAATGAAGAAAGGGCTAGTCACCATGATGATGGCTCTAGTCATCACACTGTGGTTCATCAACCCCATGTAGAACATGTTGGTGGGCCAGACGAGGATGAAAGGCGATTGACTGCCTTTCAAAAACACAAACCTCCATCGTTCACTGGAGGCTATGACCCATTGATTGCTGCAAAATGGCTTCAGGCCATGGAGAATATTTTCAGGGTGATGAGATGCCCTGATGCACTGAAGTTGGTTTACTCAGTGTATATGCTTAAAGGTCAAGCCGAGGATTGGTGGACGAACACCGTGCAACCGTTGGAAGCTGAAGGCCAGGAGATCACCTGGCGGTTGTTTGAGACTTTGTTCTTGGATAACTACTTTCCTATGGAGGCTAGGGAAAGAAAGCAAAATGAGTATAATGATTTGAAGCAGGGGACGATGACCATTGACCAATATTTCGCCAAGTTCAATGAATTGATGAAGTATGCTAACTACGGGAGAGCTCTACCTACTTCAGCCGAGATGACCTCCAAGTTTCAATGGGGTCTAAATGAGAAAATGTCTCAGAAAATGTCTAATTTTGATATCCGTGAGTTTAGCAGGTTTGTAAACCATTGTTGGAAAGTGGAAGAACTTTATAGTGTGACTAAGAACAAGAAGCTTTCTGAGGCCCAGGCATCTAATGCAAGTAGAGCAACTGGCTCAAATTATTGGAAAAACAAGAAAATGAAGGGTAAGAAGTTGAGTGTGAATAATCCAGTCGATATATTCAAGAAGCCCGGAAATGCAAAGAGTTTTGTTGATAGAAGACCTCCTCCAAAGTGTAGAGGATGCAGAAAAGAGCATCGAGGTCCGTGTGCTACGGGTGAAATTATTTTCTATAAGTGTGGAAGATCCGGCCATTACTCTAGGCAGTGCCCTCAAAGTGAAGTGAGGACTATGACAATTCAGGATGCTGTTGTTCCTGTTTTGGTTGTTCTACCTATGATAGAGTCCCAGACTGTTGGTAGAGTATACACCATGGACCGTCAGCAATCAGAAAAGGCTCCAAACCTTGTGAAAGGTATAATTTATATTGATAATATGGATATTAAAGTCTTGTTTGACTTAGGAGCTACACACTCCTGTATGTCTGATTTTATGGCCGTTGGGCTAAATTTACGTATGTACAAAATTTCTCCTCAATGAAAGTGGTGACTGCTACTGGAGAGAAGTGTTATACATCAGTTTTATGCATGGATGTTGAATTTAAATATGAAGGCCGAGACTACTTGCTGGATTTTATTTGTCTGCCTATGATCAGTCTTCAAGTTATCTTGGGAATGGACTGGTTATCGAAAAATTGTGCTATGATAGTCTGCTATGGAAAAAGGATTGTGCTTTCTGCTGATGATTCTGCTACTAGTTCTTCCCCATATCTATCTGTGTTGCAGGTTAGAAAGGCTTTGAGGGCCAGGGCATTGGGATATATCTTTGTGGGGGGTTTAGTGGTGGAAGTCATGAGGAAATTGATACTATTCCTGTGGTGAAGGAGTTTGTGGATGTGTTTCCGAATGAGATTCTGCAACTCCCACCTCCTAGAAAGATTGAGTTCACGATTGATTTGTTGCTTGGTGTGGGGCCTATTTCCTTAGCTCCATATCGGATGTCACCACCGAAATTAGTCGGGTTGAAAAAGCATATTGAGGAGCTTTCGACTAAGCAGTTTATCAAGCCAAGTGTGTCCCCGTGAGGAGCACCAATTATATTTGTCAAAAAGAAGGACGGTAGCATGAGATTGTGCACTGATTACCGTCAGCTTACTATTAAGAACAAGTATCCTCTCCCTCGCATAGATGATTTGCTCGATCAGTTAAGGGGTGCTTGTGTCTTTTCAAAAATAGATCTGAGGTCGGGTTATCATCAGATCTGAATTAAGCAGGATGATATTCCGAAGACTGCTTTTCAATCTAGATACGGACATTATGAGTACCAGGTAATTCCATTTGGACTCACTAATGCTCCAGCAGTGTTTATGGATTATATGAATCGCGTATTTAAGCCATTTCTGGATCAATTCGTGATTGTGTTTATTGATGATATCCTAATATATTCCAAGAGTAAAGAAGAGCATGCGGATCACTTGAGAACTGTGTTGCAAATTCTTAGAGAGAAACAGTTGTATGCAAAGCCTTCAAAATGTGAATTTTGGCTTTCTCAAGTGTAATTCTTGGGTCACGTCATTTCTGCTAAAGGAGTGGCCGTTTGACTCGAAAGGATACTCCGTTTATTTGGACGTATGAATGCAAGGAATGTTTTCAGAATCTTAAGGAGAAATTGACGACTGCTCTGGTGTTAGTACTTCCTGATCCGGAAGGTGAATTTGAATTATACAACGATGTTTCTAAAAAAGGATTGGGATGTATGGTGATGCAAGATAAGAGAGTAGTGGCGTATGCATCGAGGCAGCTGAAACCGCATGAAGAAAACTATCTGACTCACGACTTGGAGCTTGCTGCGATCATTTTTGGGTTGAAATAATGGAGGCATTTCTTGAATGGAATGAAGTTTGCCGTATTTAGTGACCACAAGAGCTTGAAGTACTTGTTTGATCAAAAGGAGTTGAATATGAGACAACGATGGTGGACTGAGTTCCTAAAGGACTACAACTTCGAATTGAAATATCATCCCAGCAAGGCTAATGTTGTAGGTGATGCATTGAGCCGTAAATCTGTGAGTGTAGCAAGCATGATGATGAGAGATTATGATGTGATTGAGAGGTTTAGAGATATGAATTTATCTGAAGTCTTTTCGGATAGAATCTGTGACATCGAAATTACAAGAATTGAAAATGAAATGCTGACTAGAATTAAAGAAGCTCAACTGCAAAATGAAAGTGCTAAACGACTGAAAGGTTAGAATGGTGTATTCTGCAACGATCAGGGTATACTATTATATCAGGGTCATATTGTTGTACCTAGGCAGTTGGCGGAGGAAGTGATGACAAAGGCTCATAAGGGTCAATTCACTGTCCATCCAGGAGCTACAAAGATGTATCATGACCTAAAGATTAATTTCTAGTGGCTGGTATGAAGAAAGATATTGCAGAATTTGTCTCTAAGTGTCTCGTATGTCAGAAGGTCAAGATTGAGCATCAAAAGCCTTATGGTCTGTTGCAACCTCTGGATGTTCCTGAATGGAAATGGGAGAGTATCTCCATGGATTTCGTAGTGGGTTTGCCGTCAACACAGGCTAGTTATGATTCTATATGGGTAATTGTAGATAGATTGACAAAGTCCGCACACTTTTTACCAGTACGGGTAGATTTCTCTACTGAGATGTTGGCTAGGCTCTATGTGAAGGAGATTGTGAGGCTTCATGGGGTGCCTGGGAGCATTGTTAGTGATCAGGACCCGAAGTTTACTTCTCACTTTTGGGGAGCATTGCAGGAGGCTCTTGGCACTCAGTTGAGACTGAGCAATGCCTATCATCCACAGAAGGATGGTCAGACTGAGAGGACCATTCAGACGTTGGAGGATATACTGAGGGCTTGCACCCTGGAGCAGGGTACTGCACGGGATCGATATCTCTCGTCCACTTGGGAGCGGGAAGACGAGCTTCTCCGACAATATCCTGAGTTTAAGGATAGGTATGTTCTTGATTTTGTGGACAAAATCGCTAAAAGGTAGGGTGACTATAATAGTCATAACCTAATTAATTAGTAAATTATACGTAATTAAGTAATTAAACATGTATTACTGAGTAAAATTAAACATAAAGCCTAATTAAATGATTTAGGGTCACTTTTGAGGTAAAAAGTGCACTCAGTGAAGATTATGGGGTAAAAATGGGTGTAGGCAAAAGTACCCAAAATATAAAAGTAAAAGTGAAAATATTCCTAGAAAAATATTCTAGATCTTTTGGCTAATTTTGGTGGTGAAAGGAGGTGAATAGATAGATAAGCTATTACCCAGTGGAAATAACTTAACCAAGTTAAGTGTGAAGCACAAGACCCATTCCTCACATTCTTCTTCTTCTTCTTCTTCCTCGACGCCAAACAGAGAGGCAGAGCATGAGAGACCTTTTGGAGCCCTAAACCACAACTCCCCCATTTCTTGCTCAAATCAATCCATTCCAAATCCTAAACAACTTAGAATCTTCCTCTCATCCTTAATCCTAGATTGGTTGTGAGTGGGGAGCATTGTGGTGTGAGATTTCTCTTCCCAAAATTTTGCCCGCTTTGAAGATTGAAAGGGTTTGGGAGCATTTCACTTCTTGGGGACTTAGGGAGCACTCATTCTATTGTTGATCAATCATTTGTGGTAAGTTTCCACTCCTTGAACTTTGTTTTCATAGAGAGTGCATGGTTGAGGAAGATGATGAATAGTGTTATGGTGGGTGGTATGAGTTTGGGTTTGATTTAAGCTTAAGCCCTTTGTAAAAGTTGTTAGAAATGATAAATAAACGGTAGAAATGAACTTAGATAGTCATTTGATTATGATTTGAAAATTGCAAGATTATATACTTGGTTTGTGGATTTTCTTGCATTGGTAAACAATGGTTTTGTTGGATGTTAATTGTGTCCATGTGTTGGCTAGGATTGAGCCTTGTGGACCAACATTGAAGGACCAACCATTGGAGGAAGCCATAGAGCTTGATTAGCTCACTTGAATTGGTAAGTTCATACCTATTGTGGTGTGAATATGTTTATTTGGTTGGTGACAATTTTGATATTCATTGAATTGTCTTGATAGATTGTCTAGTACCTTGATGTAGGTATTGATTATAAAGCTTGATTGTTTAAGTTGGTGAAGAACAAAGGTTGAGATTGGAGCATTGAGGTAAGCCTTCGGACCTTGGAAATTGATCCCTTAATTGTTCCACCAAGCCCTGAATGGGCAGTGGTTATTAATAGTGTTGTATACGCAATAAGGTAGTTTAATGCTTTGTTATACGTATGTGTATGCATTTTGTGTGGCATAAGATGGTGTTTTCCTATGTTTTGTATGTTGAATGACGATGCGTAATTCATACTTGATAGTTTAGCTGGCCAGTCGGACTATTTTGCATCTGAGTATCCTTAGGACAGCATGAGAGCTCGAGGGATGTTTCCTGGAGATGTTCTTACACACTGCATGGATATGTATTTACTGCATTATTTATGATTATTGCTATTCTAATGTGAGGGAACTATGGGGTGGCAAGATGCTCCAAGGACCCTTGGTTTACTGAGATGTATTTATATATCTCACTCCGTGTTGTGGGGACCTCCTTTCAAGTACAGATGTTGCAGGAGCCTCTGGTGGCAAGTGGCCATACTTGGATTAGATTGATGCATGAGGATATTACATCATTTTAGTTATGCGTGTCATTTTGTAGTTCTTATGTATAGGATTTGATTTGAAAGCCATTTGTTATATGTATTTCATGCTTTATTCTGATGGACTTAGCCTATGCTCACCTCCTTTGGTGTCTCTTTTGTTGATGGGAGCCAAGGAATTGATCATAGTGTTTTGTAGCTAAGTCTCATGGTTATGTATTGAAGACTTGTAGAGATTGTATAATATTATGATTATTGTATATATATGATGGAAGGACATGGATGCTTCTTTTGATAAATGTGTACCTTGAAAGAACTAAGAGTCATGTATTGAAGTGGTTATATGATGTCAATTAGGTGAAGGATGACCTTTAGGTTGAAAATCCATGTAAAAATAAAGATATCATGTCTTGTTGCCCATTTTTCATTTTCTATATGATAGATTTGGACCCTTGTGTCTTAATGGAAGTTGTAGATATTTTTCTTAGCTTTCCAACGAGACCAAGATTGCGTCATTCAGATGAGTATAACTCCAGTTAGGGGTAAAATACTAAGGCTAGGCGTAATCTCCAGAATTTTGGCGCTATTAGCACTGTGGTGGCGCTAATCGCACCAAATACAGTGGGAAAATGCATTCCCGGCGCCATTCTCGCCATGTTGGAGCCGTTCACGCCATATGTTTGGGAAGCTTCTGTTTCGTGGCGCTAATCGCGCCGGGCCCAGTGGGTTCTGCACTCGTTTATTAGAAAATTCATAACTTGAGCTACGATGCTCCGAATTAAGCGCGGTTTGAACCCACGCGTAGCTAACGAAGAGATCTATAATATATTGGAACATGAGGACCATATAAGTAGTATAAAATTCCTTAGGTAACTAAAAAGTGGAGGTATTTAGTGTTGAAAAACAATAAAACTGAGTTTTAAGCCTTGGTGGTCTAAGGGGACTACTTGACACATTATGGTAGCAACGTATGGTCTAAATAATACTTACAATACGTGTTCCACATATATTTTAAGTTATGATCACATTTATGGGAATTTTTTTAATTACAGAATTGATTTTAAACAAAAACGTTTATAAATAAAAAAGAAAAAGTTTATCTGTACTTTAATTCAATTGTTGTGATTGTAACTGCGAAC